TCTGACTTCGGGTTGGAGGTGTAATTGTCTTGCTTCCTCGTTGGCGTGGACTGGCAGATGTTCTAAATAATTTCTTGTTAGTCTGCTGATTTCGTCTTCAACGAACAAAATCATCATGCAGTGTTATGTTACTAATGTATTACGGCACGTTGAAAATAATTCACGATACGTCACGAGTATTTTGGATTTGATTCTCTGAATGATTTTGGTTTTCGAAGACTTTGCACAGCCCCACAGTTGTTGCACTCCATATGTCCATATATGCTTTATTATGCACTTATACAAGAAAAGTTTATTGTCTGTAGATAACTGTCGTTTTCGGCCTATTAGCCAAATCATTTGGCGTATTTTCATGTTGATTTGGAGTTTTTTTCCCAAGATGTGTGCCTTCCAAGTCAGCGTTTGATTAAGTGTCATTCCTAGTTATTTGACTTTTGTTTTTACTGGTAGTAATATGTTGTTCTGAAGCTATTTTCTTGTTGCATTTTAAATAAGTTACTATTTAACTGGGAATAAGCCACAATTAAAGATAAAAATACGTTTATTGACGTTTTAATTTCCACTTCGGAAATAGGTCTCAATAGGTCAAGGAAATTGAAACGTCAATAAACGTATTTTTATCTTTAATTGTGGCTTATTCCCAGTTAAATAGTAATTAGTAATATGTTGTTCAGTCTGATTCTCTGACATATGATGTTCTTGTAGGTGAATGTAATTTGATTAGACTTATTATGGTTAACTTTGATTTTTCACCTAATCATCCAGTCTTGTAGGAGGTTTAATTGTATTTGAAGGTCTCCTAGTGCTAATTGGGGGTCATCATCGATGGATATTATGGCGGTGCCATCTGCAAACATGGCTCCTGTGGTCGTATTTGTTGTTGGGATATCAGCAGTGTGTATGAGGTACAGAAGGGGACCCAGGACACTTCCCTGAGGGACACCGGATTATATGGGATAGAAATGAGAGGTTTCTGTAAGGACTCTGACTTGAAAGTGACGTTCTGTGAGGTATGATTTTAAGAGTAGATAGTAAGGAGTGGAAAAGGATGACTTAAGTTTATAAGTGAGGTCGTCATGCCAAACACTGCCGGAAGCTTGTTTTATATCCAGGAATACAGCAGTGTAATTTTTTTTTCTCTTCGAGGCATACATTAATGTTTTTAACAATCTTATGACATTGTTGTAGAGTTGAATCGAAACCGCGGAAACCAAGCTGGTGTGTTCATCATCATCATCATTGGCTTTTACAACTCTTCGTGAGTTTTTGCCGCGTTTACTATTGCCTTCCATTGATTCCGATCCTGTGCTATTATTTCCCATGGCCTTACTTCCATCTTCTCTAGGTCTTCCCTGACAGCGTCTTTCCACCTTTTTCTAGGCCTTCCTGTCGATCTTTTACCATCTGGTCTTTCCCAAAATACATTGCTAATCAGTCTGTCGTCATCACTCCGTACCACGTGGCCTGCCCATCTTAATCTATTGGCTTTTATGTATCTTACGATATTGCCTTTCCCGAAGAGAGTCTCTATTTCATTGTTGTATCTGCTCCTCCATTCATTTGTCACGCTGTCCCTGCAAGGACCATATATAATTCGCAGGATTTTGCGTTCTCATACTAATAGCTTATTGATTTCTTTCTTTCTCAATGTCCATGTTTCACTTCCATATGTCACTGCTGGTCGTATTATGGTTTTGTACATTTGGATTTTGGCACGCCTTGAGAGAAGCTTTGACCTCATTAGATGTTGAATGGCAAAGAATGATTTATTCCCCGCCAGTATTCGTATTTCAACCTCCCGTTATCCTGTGTTTTCACTGGTAATTGTTGCTCCTAGGTATTTGAATTCTTTGACCACCTCAAAATTATGATCGTTTATGGTAATGTTTTGTCTTATTCGCTGTCGTTCCTTTTTTGATACGACCATGTATTTAGTTTTTTCTTCGTTTATTTTCAGGCCTACGCTTAGTGTTGCTTCTTCAAAGTTCGATACTATATCCTTAACTTCCAGTGTTGTCTGTGCTACTGCATCTATATCATCTGCAAATGCGAGAATAATCTTTGCTCCTCTGGCAGTTATGTCTGGTTTGACTCTGGTATATATTTTTCGCATTGCGTATTCCAATGCTAGGTTAAATAGTAATGGAGACAGCGGGTCTCCCTGTCTGAGCCCGGTGCTTATGCCGAAAGCCTTTGAATTTTTGCCTCCTATTCTAATTTGTGCAAAGGAATTGTTGACACACATTCGCGCAATCATGGTCAGTTTCTTTGGTACGCCTAACTCCATCATTGCACTCCACAGTTTTAAGCGATCTATGGAATCATATGCTTGTTTGAAATCTATGAAGATCTGGTGTACTTCTTTATTATATTCCCAATACTTTTCTAGCATTTGTCTGATAGTAAATATTTGGTCGATTGTTGATCTTCCAGGCCTAAAGCCGCATTGGTAATCGCCAATAATTTCCTCTGTATATGGCAGTAATCGTTTTAGTACAACTGAAGCTAATATCTTATATGTAGTACCGATTAGTGAGATTCCCCTGTAGTTGCCACATGTATCCTTTCTGCCTTTTTTATGTATTGGCACGATAATACAGCCACTCCATTCTTTTGGCATTATTTCTTGTTCCCAGGCTTCTTTCATTAATTGGTGTATTTTAGTTCTAAGTTCATGTCCTCCTTTTTTAATCAGTTCTGCATCTATATTGTCTAGTCCCGGGGATTTGTCATTTTTTAGGGTTTCTATCGCCGTGATAATTTCTTCCAGGCTTGGCGGGGGTACTTCTATTTCGGCCGTTTGGTACTCACAATTTGCTTTATTTCCATCCGCGTCTACCTGGACATTTAGCAGACTTTCAAAGTATTCAGCCCATCTTTCGATTATTTTATTTTCAGCTGTAATCATTTGCTCATTTTTGTCTCTCGCAAAGTTCGGTGTTCTTATATATGCACCTTTCTTATGTTGTCTTACTTCTTTGTAGAATTTTTTATTTTGCTTGCTTCTGTGTTCACGTTCTACTTTTTCAATTTATTGTTGTAAATGTTGTCTCTTTTTTCTCCTTACTGTTCTTCTGGCTAAGGCTCTCTCTCTATTATATTGTTCACGTTTTTCATCCGTCGGGTTTGCTAGGTAGTCGATTCTTCTTTTGTTTGCTTATTTTAAGGTATTCTCGCATTCTTCATCAAACCATTTTTTTCTTTTTGCTTTTCTCTTCCGACCTATACACTTCTCTGCTGTTTCTGTAATGATCGTTTTAATGGAGTGCCATTTCTGGTCTATATTTTCTCTTTCATTTTCTTTCGTTTCCAACACCTGGAATCTGTTTCTCAATTCTAGTTGGTATTGTCTCTTTCCCTCTTCTTCTTCCAATTTAGACACATTCCATCTTTCGATCTTCATCTGTTTGTCTGTTGTTTGTGTTGAGATTCTAGTTCTGAGCTTGGCCTTTACTAGGAAATGGTCTGTATCACTATCTGGTCCCCGTCTAGTTCTTACGTCTATTATACTACTGGAATGCCTCCCATCAATTAATACGTGACCAATTTGGTTCCTCGTTCTTCCATCATTTGATCTCCATGTTACCTTATATATGTTTTTCCTGGCAAATTGGGTGCTTTTGATAATCATGTTGCACCCTGCTGCAAACTCAATCAGTCTTGAACCATTGTTATTGGTAATGTCATGTAGACTCTGATTTCCAGCTACCGGCCTTATGTGTTCTTCTTTGCCTATTTTTGCGTTTAAGTCCCCTAATATTATTTTGATGTCATGTTTTGGGGCTGCCGTGTATAATCGGGTTACGGAGTCATAGAATTCTTCCTTCTCTTCCTCTGCTGCTTCTTCGGTTGGTGCATACACTGAGAATATCGATAGATTGAACCATTTGCCCTTTATTCTTATGATACAGACTCTATCATTAATTGCTTTGAAATCTAGTATAGCAGATTTAATCCTTTCGCTTATTACAAAACCACACCCTCTTTCATGACGTGTTTCATGTCCAGACCATAGCACTATTGACTTCTCCAATTGGATTGTCCCAGACCCAGTCCATCTGACTTCTTGGATTGCAGTCACATCGTATTGCTGGGCATCGTAAGCTGGTGTGTTGGGATCACTGAATTAATTTCGATATCTTCTAAGATTCTTTGGAGCCAAAATCTTTTTCAATCAAAATCTTAATCAAAAGATTTTTGGCATTATTGGAAATAAGCTAGTTTATTTGGATATTATATATAACTATTTATGTGGACTTCCAATTAATCGGGTATAGGGCTAATCTTATAATACTATTATATATCATTGTTAGTAGGACAATTGCTTTTCTCAGTAATTTTTTAAATATTAGCCCGGTGATCATCTCGAAGCCTGGTGCTTTGTAGTTATTGCATCTAAAAATTTATTTTTTTACTTTATTAGGAGTAAAGCATTTGATTGGTAGCATTTTTGGACATGAAGTGTCTAAGAAGTTTTTAACTTGTTCTTCGTTATTACTGTGATTAAGTTGAGGTGTACCAAAAATATGTTAGAGATGTGCAGCAAAGATTGATGCCTTTTCTTGTTTGGTTTTTCCCCAGCCTTCATCGCTTACCTTAGAACTGATATGTGGGATATATGTTTTATATATTGAATGATTTCGTTGCTTTCCAGACGCTTTGGTCTTTTTTTGACAGGCTGTTGATGAATAGTTCAAATGTATCATTCCTCGGGTCTTATAGAGCAGTTTTAAGTTGCCGTGTTAATCTATTGTATTCAGTTTTATCTATAGGATTGCGACTTTTGTGCCATATGCGCCTGGCTCTTGTTTTTTGTACAACACGTTTTATATATACAGGTATGTTAATGTCACTTGGTTCTTTATCATTCTGAGGGAGTGTAGCTATTTCATCGGCTGCATGTATAGTTTGGATGAGAAGAAGCACAGCATTATGGATATCGTCTGGAAATATGTTTTTCCTCAGGTTTATTAGTTTAAAAAAAAATTTGTCCCTGTAGTTAAAGAAACATAATAAAAACAGTTATTGTTTTAGTTTATTATACATTTTACAAATATCTGGGTCAAAAAAATTAAGATTTATTGTAAAGCTGAATTATTCTATTTGCTTCTCTAAATCCGGATTCTACTGCTCCGTGTACAGTGGAATGATGTTTTTTGTTAGTCGCTTCACCAGCAAATTGTAAAATGGGTACACCTAACGAATTAGAAACAGGTTGTTGAAGAATCTCGACTTCACGGCCAGTTGAGTTCACTGAAGTAAAGGAGTAGGTGCCTCTGAAGTGTGGATTTGTGTACCAGGTGGTTCTAAAATTAAAGACAATGGTAAAATCGTAAAAGAAAATTATATTTCAGTAGCTATAAAATAGAAAAAGATAAGACTTTATGGAAATTAGTTTTGTTATACCTTGTAAGATAGCCTTTGAGGTTTAAACTTTTGGATAATGACTTTATTGATTAAGGGGACTGTACCAATAACTGAGAGGTACAAAAGTAAAAACGGCTTTAGCTTTCTGTTTGATTTACGTGTATTCAAGTGTAATGTTTTAGTTAAAGAATTTTATTTATTTATTTATATTTATATATTTATTGTTCTAAAATAAAAATAACATAAACTTATAAAAACGAATTTTTCTAACACAACAAATTTGACATCCGAGTTACATCTTCTGGAGAAAATTCTTCATATAACTCATTTTTTAATAGTTGTAGATTACTCTTATCATTATTTAGAGAAAATTCATGGCATTTTAATAAAACTTAAAATCGGAATTTTCTTGCCAGTCGTTCCATATTGCATAATCGTTTTACAATAATTTGGTAACACTCTGAGCCTTCCTTTTGTCACTTACTTTACCAGCTTCGAATTTGTCAGAACTAATCGAACGGATACATCTTTCCTTCTCACAAATGCCCTTTGAAACACCAATGGAAGTATTATAGTTAACTTTACCCTAAACTTTCATTAAATTATCATTTCGCTTCAAAATCCTTCAGCGTTTGCACTGTTCAAATTGAAAGTGCCAAGCTCCTGGTGGTTTAATAACTTCTGATATTTAGGTTTTCCAATCAAACGCGTCCCAGTATTCGACCAATTTATAGATTGGTTCGTTTTGTTCTATTACAGCTATGGAGTGTTCTAAATTCGGTATAATTTTTGTTTTTTTAATTTTTCTTCTAGAAATACTAAATACTCTATGTATAATTTCTGGGAATATTAGTTCAATGCAGAGAAATATTACCAGTAGCCGTTTTATGAAGAAAACTTGCAAGAATACCGATTATTTTAGTATTTTTATTTTGAGCTGTACAGCCATTCGCACAAATTAATATTTCGTTAACATCGTAACATCAAAATTTATGTTTCGATAATCTATGGAACAACGGTGAAGCTATAACACTTAAATTTTTTGGCAAATCTAAATCGGTCCATAGATAAGCTAAAACTGTGTCAGAATTAAGACTCCTATCGGAAGTATCATTTACAATTAAAATTATGTTAAATTGTCAATTGTTACAAATATATTGAAAGACAAACTAAGCTCTCTGATCAAATAACTTCGGAAGGGCTAAGTTTGTAGCATTTTCAATTTCATTGATTCTTTTAAGTATATTGAAGTCCCCTCGTACACGAAATATTAAAATCACCTTATATATTTTTGATAGATCTAAAAATATTTCGTACGTATTTAAACCCAAATATCTTTTCATTTCTTTCTTAGGTCGGCCAAGTTGAAATAAACCATTTTAGAGTTTTTTATTTATTTTACTTCGGCAAATTCTTTTCAAGTTTATGCGTCGCAAAAGGATATGTACGTCGTTTCGTGGTGTCTTGTTATGTCAGCGTTTGTATGTATGCGTTTAATTTTAATATAATTTCTTCACTCTCGTTGGAACAGCTTTCAAGAGCGGTTTGGCACGTCGAATTTGTAAAGTATTCTGTTTTCGTCTTTTATTATGAAGAATATGTAGCAGTTTGTTATTGGTTTTGTGGCAGTAAATGTTTCAATTATTAATGTTTTGAGTGAGGTTTGGAGGACATCCTCGTTTTGTTTTTTTTTGTTCCTGTTTTTATCCAAGGCTTTTGGCAGTTTGGAGATGGAGGTTTTTGTAATGCAGATAGAGTGGAGCCCTCAGTTCCAGGTTCCAGTTATGGTTTCAGAAACTTAAGTGTGATCATGTGAATTAAGGTAACATTTTGTTCAAATTTTAAACTAAAGACAGACATTTTTTTATAAAATAATAATTGCTTTCGTTACATTTAAAATTGTAAATTTTTGGTTTTGAGTTGAGCTGTCAATTTATGTGTCTAGTTTTTTTTTTGAAATTTAATGTTAATTTATGACAGCTCGTTTTATTATTTTTTGATTTTACTTTGTTTTGTAAAAAAAAGGTTAACCTCCATGCAATTTTGTAAGTTTTGTAGCAACAGAGTTTGTAAGCGGATGACACATCTAAGTTTTTGTGTTTTGTTTTTCTCCATGTAACTGTTTGTGGTGACACATAAATAAAGGTTAAATTTTGTTGTCTTAACTTTTTATTTATTTTTTTGAGCCAAACCTTTTTTAATTCTTATTTAAAAAAAAAATGTTTTTTATGTTTTGATTTTGTTTTCTAAGTATTTCCCTAGCTACAACTAGTGGTTGTAATAGGCATAATTAGGCACCTCAAGTGGCGCCCTATATTAAATTCCTTGAGGTGTTTCTTGTTTATTTTTATTTTGTTTGTCCCAAGAGCCCTTTATTTAATTTTTTTGTAGTTCCCCCATTCCAATGCCCTTATCTTTTACTTATCCACGACCCCAGCTCTCCTACGAAACCCCGAGTGCCGTTCGCACAAGTAGCGATTATTTTGCTTGCCTTATCTCAACCCCTTTAGTTTCTTCCCCCAATTTTCTATCTCCCGTATTAATGCCCCCTGTGGTAGGCAAAACATGTTCGTTACAAGTTGTGTTGACAATCCATTGAAAAACTTTAGTTTTTATGTAATTCCTGTAAAACAATAAGTTCCTTTCTTTTCCTGCTTATTATTTGCCTTCCTTATCTCCTAAATATGGTATATATATATATATATATATATATATATATATATATATATATATATAATATAATATAAATAATAAATTATAACACTAAAGCACTGAAAACTTTGTTTTCGAAATTTCCATAAAATTTATTATATAATCACTACAGCTGTTTTGGTAGAGCGTCTTTCTCAAGTGATCTATTTTTAATATGAGTTTAGACTTTATAGTCAAACAAAATAGGTCGAGGAGGGGAAAACTGTTTTTCTTAAGTTAGTCATTCAGAATTATGTCTGTGTTGTTTAATTTGTTGATTTATAGATTCTAACTAAGATTGCTTAAGGCTAATTGGATGTGAAAATTTTGAAATTGGTCATTAAAAAATCATTAGGATCTAGAAGGTGAAATGAGTATGTAAAATCTGTTTTTCTGTTATTAAAAGCCCTTTTATGTTCCGCTATACGTTTGGTAAAAGTTCTACCAGTTTGACCGATATAAGTCTTTGGGCAGTCGCCACATTTAAGTTTGTATACACCACTGTGTAAGTGCTTTTTGTTTTGGCTCTTGTTGATTTTAATATACTTGCCCAAGTTGTTGTTTGTTCTTAAAGCTAGTGTTATTCCTTTCTTCTCTACACATGTGAATTATGCGAAATGCATTTGTTTCTGAATTTAGTTTCTTCTCTATAATAAAGTAGCATTAAAGAAAACTACTAACAATATCAAAAAAAGTATCATTGCAAAATCAATATCAGATGTATGTAGCGAAACTAAAAAGTCCTGTCCACTTTAAAAACTTATTTTTATAGACATATCTCATTATGTTACTTATATTATATTACGAGTATAAGCACTCTATGTTTACCTATTTTTCATAGCGACTACTCTTTTGTATTTAGTGCGATTTACGATTCTTTTTCGGCTACATTTTGACGTGTTTTTTCTTTAGAGATACCAATATTATCGATATCCGTTAAAACAAAAGGAGATTTACCCTTTCAGTTCAGTACCCTTTTTTTCTTTTTTTTGGGAGGTAAGAATCTTTAAAAGACCGTCAGCGAAGGTGTCCCTGGTGTGTCGAATTCAGTTCGACACGCTGTACCGCGTGCCGAGACCGCCAACCGACTAAACTCACCTCCTCTTCCTCCAGCCAGAGGGTCTGGAACCGCTCTTAGCGAGCATGTCTGACCCGTCGAACTTACTTATAGCTCCCCCTAACACCCCCAAGCTCTCTTACCTTGTCCGATTATGAAACGTTTGCGATCATATTGGCAATAATAACTTCATTTACGGCGGCTCTAAATAAATTAGTGGTGCTTTCTTGACACTATTCTCGAAAATTTCGGAGCCAGGATGTTCTTTGTCTTCCTGGGCCTCTCCTTCCGACGATCTTACCCTGTATTATAAGGTGTATAAGGTTTTGCCTCTCTGGATGTCTCATTACATGACAGAAATATTGCAACTTTCGAAATTTTATCGTTTATGTTATTTCTGTGCTCTTTTTTATTCGATGTAAAACTATTTCATTTCTTATTCGATCAACCCAACTTATCTGCAATACTCGTCGATAAATCCACATCTCAAAGGCCTCTAATTTTTTCATAATTGTCTCTGTAAGGTTCCAGCTCTCCATACCATACAGCAATGTCTAGAAAATGTAGCAGCGTATTATTCTGATTTTTAAGTTTAACGTAATATCTCTATTAATTAGAATTTTCTTTAATTTATAAAAGGCGGCTCTGGCTTTTTCAATGCTTATTCTTATTTCTTTATTTATATCCCAATTATCGGTAACGTTTGCGCCCAAATAGGTAATATTGTGGACTCTTTCTAACTTTATTCCATACATTCTGATGTTCGTTGGTTGGAACTACATTTTGCTGACAACCATACATGTTGTCTTAGAAATATTAAGTTTTAGCCCATATTCATCACATGCTTCGCTTACCCTGTTTATTAGTCGTTGCAGGTCTTTTTATTGGAAGCAATAAGTACCGTGTCATCTGCTTATCCGTAATCCACAATATCGTAATTCCGTTGATTTTAATACTTGTACCTTTAACTAAGGCTTTTTTGAAAATAAATTCGGAGTAGATATTAAAAAGTAGAGACGATAGAATACATCCTTGCCTTACTACATCTCGTATTTCCACTGTTTCCGTCGTGTTGTGTTCAGCTCGTATATTTGCACATTGATGCCAATACAAATTTTTGATAATACGCAGATCTTGGTCATCAATTCTCACCTGTTTGTCACCTATATATAGACACCTATAAGTTTGTCATGGTTTACTCTTTCAAAGACCTTTTCGAAGTCGATAAAACACAAATATACTGATTGTTCTATATTCCTACATCTTTGAATCCTGACATGCAAACATTTAGGTATACCTACCTTAAATAACATCCTTACAACATCCAAAAACATAACATGGTTACAAGCTGAGACCTGCCACTTTGCGGGAACAGGAAAATTGCTTATCAGTCCAAACGTTTCAAACGTTTATTGGTCAGGCCAGACTTGCGGTATTAGCAACTAATTTCTTTTGGACAAGGCAGGTTTTGCAGCTTAAGCGTATTTTCTAATTTAAATATGTTTTAACTTATGTATATACACGTAAACAACAAATTCCTGTTCTATATCCCTTAATTATACTAAGAAATTTGTGAAAAGAAAGTTTACTATGCAAACGATATCCTCAGTTCAAAACCGCGAACGATTAACGAAATTCTAGCCAACCTTCTGTGAGGAAGGCGGCACGCTAAGAAGTTCAATTTGTAATAAATAATTTACTTACTTTAATATGTTTTGTGGTTTAGGAACATCAAATATATGTCCAAAAAATTTATCAAATGTAAATTCGATTCCCTTTTGTAAAGTGGCTTCATCCATTTTCTCTATACTAGGTTCTATTTCTCCCGTGAACCAAACAAGCAAAATGTTGGAATGCGGTAAAGCAATTGCGTTAGAAATTTCTACGATCCAAGATTGCCCTTTCTAAAACAATAAAATATTGGATAGATAAGATAATTTAAGAGGTATAATTTATCCTTATTATCTAGTGAGTGAAAAAGTAATGGTTTTGTGTCAAAATTTCAACAATGTCAACAAGAGGAAACTACGTTTTTTGGAATCCTATAGACATCTTGTTATTAGTACCTTGGTAATTAGTTACCAAAAATATCAAACAATGTAACTAACTATTAGAAATCTTGACAAAACACCGGTTTTCGGTTATATCGTTTTTTTTACTTACGGTTTAACCAGGTGATTATAACAGTAAAAATAACGGGTATTCCAAAAACCGGTGTTCGGTTTTTTAATCAATAGCTAAACTTAATTGGTTACAAGGTTATATTTATATTGCTTTGTTGGTTGCGACAAGCCGTTCGAATTAATATCAATATTATTGATATTAACATGAGATCTCCTTTGTGACATTGAACGGCGATAAAATACTTATAGTTTAATTAATAAAACCTATGTTTGCACCGAAAATCATTCCCAGAATTTTTAAATTAAGGTATCTACCAATACTACACATTAGTGCGAATATTTGAAGCATACAGTAAAGAGAATTTCATCTAGTTGTTATGAATTATTCCAAAAATTTTACCAGAAGATTTTCTATTAACACGTTGCTACGTCTAGCAAAAGTGTTTCTTTAATACTGCATTGTTCACATCGTCTAAGTACTCTGTAATAACTAAATTTAATATGTGTGCACAAGGCTAATAATTTTTGGCCTCTCCGAGCAACTTTTTCATTCCAACCCCCAGGCCAGAGGTCTGTTGAATTTTTTGAGAAGCTTATTTATGGTTTGGTAGATGCAATCCCCAGTATAAATTCCCCAAAGCCGTCGAACCCCATAACATTATCCCAAGATTGTTATTTTCTTGAGGAACTTTTCTGTTTTTTATTGGTTATTACTTAAAAAAAAACGGTAATAAATTTGATGAAAAACAGTCGGAAAAACCGATAATTGCTGAGTAAAAAACTTATTTTGAGTTATACTCAGTAGGTTTCTCCCACCCTACTAACAAGCAGATAAAATGTTTGTCAACTTACAGAATTTAGGGGCTCCCGAGAAAATTTCTCTGTCGCAGCTTTCCGATCTTCTTCAGTCCAAATAAAATTCATACCATTTAAATTTCCCCACCATTTTCTATCATACTTCACAAACACCTTCATTACAGCACCAAATCCTATTTTTTCAATGGCTTCTAATTTTTCTGCTGGTAGTTGCGGATCGAATAAAGATTTTGCATCACTTTTAAGTACTCCCAGGGATGGTGTAAATACAACATGTTGCGCTTTATAAGATGTGCCATCAACACATACAATTTTGTTTCCATTCTCACTTGTTGTAACCTTTTTGACCTCTTTATTCAACAAAATTTTATTGTCGATGGGAAGCTGCTCCTTGGGATTTGGATATTTTTTTGTTAAGATATCTAAGTATATTTTGTATCCGTGATTTCCCCATCCCCAATTTAAATATCCTTCTGCATCTTCGTAGTCACTGAAAATACCCACATCGTCCCATGTAAAGGCAGCTTCAAGACATAATATCATATTTTCCATCCAATCTAAAGCACTTTTGGCAACACTATATTTTTCTTTGTCATCACCAAATTTCCTGTGAATCTCTTGATTAAATCTAAAAATAATACAAAGATTATATTACAAAACACTGTTTTTGGCTATAAATGTATCATTTCGATTATTTCTCATTCAAAACTCTTTTAATTGTTTTTCATAAAAAAAAATGTTTTCAGTACATGGCTAAAGTTTATATAGATTATTATTTTAAAAGTAAAGTGGTATTTAAAAGATGAATAAGAAAAAGCAAAAAATATCTTAAATAACCAAATAGTCAGTATTGATAAAGAAAATATGTCAAACTACATAGTAAAATAACAAATCACCAGTTTATTAGAACAACAAATACAGTTAAAATTACAGTAAAAACACAGCAAAAATTAATTAAATGTTTAATTTACTTTGATGGTACACAAGGCAAATATCGAACACAGTATTTAATCAAATCTTGCCCAAGTACTTTCAATCACAAGATCATCTTCAGGGGCATCTGAAATAAGCCAAGAAACGTTTTTTAAAAAAGGAAAATTAATTCACTTGGATAAAAACTCTAAGTTTATAGTTGAAAAAAGTTTTTTTATGTGATTAACGTTTATAGACTTACTTCGTCAGTTGTGGCCTATCCAGCAGTAACAGAATGTCATAAATGTAAATTGGGACATAACAAATACACTAAACAAAGACAAACAAACACTTTAAAATTTAAAATTGGAGAAGCTACATTTTATATAGAAGCCGGAGACAGAATGGCTCCCAGCCTGGCGGAGGCGGAAATATTGAGATGACATGTGACAAATGACAGCTTGTGAAGGGCAGTTACAATAGATAAGTGATCTGCGCCTTTCAAGATTCTATGAAACTAAGTATTGACCAAAGGTCCAACTGACACCTTTATAGGAAATCAACTGAAGAAATATAAAATTATATCTAATATTTTTATGTAGATTGAATAATCCAGATCTCACATTCAAACCTGTCTATAATAATTAGGATGTTAGTTTGAGAGCAATTGAAGTTGACATAAAGTATGAATGTAAGAAATAGACTAAACAATATATTAGACAGTGGATAGTTGACTACAATAAAATGGTCCACTAAGCGCTATCAGAACTATAAAAAGAAAATCTGAATATTCAGTTGAATTGCTAAAAATTAAAACAAAAATTAAAAGCAAAATATATAAATGGGTTGTAATCCAAGTAGTTCAGTTGAATCCACAGTCAATGGAAGAACTTTCAAATGAATATGTAAATACTCAGTGCATGAAGTCTAAACAGTCGAGCTGGGCCCTCGACGAGGTGGAGCTGTAATAAAGTTTTTAAATATAGGATTAAATTTAGTACAATTTAAATTAATTTGAGTATTAAGACAGTGAGAGTTTTCATTTGTTTTCCTTGTAATCTCCAAATCTTCCAATAAATCCAACTCAAGATAGTTTTTCTTTCTACTGATGTCATGTAAGATGGATGAACCAGAATTGATGTTAAAATTGTGGTTGCTGGATACTAAGTGTTGACCAAAACTTGAAGAGTTTGGTCTTTTCAAATGTTCAGAGACTCTGGTGGATAACTTTCTGATGGTTCTATCTACATAAGAGGCATTACAATCATCACATTTTAATTTGTAAATACCACTTTTATCAAGTGTATTCATCCTATCTTTGGTATTGATTAAGAAGGAGCCTAAAGTGTTATGTGATTTAAACGAGATTTTGATGTTATCAATTGTAGAAGTAAAAAGTTTAAATATTTTATTGGAAATGCTGCTAATATAAGTGAAGAAGAAATATCTGATGTTATCTGAAACATTAGGTTGAAAAGACTGTGATGAATATGCAAGCTTTTCTGCAATTTTTAGTTTAGCTCTATTTAGAAGTTTGTATATAATGTTAGGATCATAGCCATTATTGACAGCAATCTGCTTAAGAGTATTGAGTTCTGTATTAAAGTTATCATCAGAAAGAGGAAATTTAAGTAATCGATAAATGTAACTGTTGAAAGCAGCCATTTTATGCTGAGTTGGGTGGTTAGACGTTTCAGGTATAGCGTGATCTGTTTGGGAGGGTTTTCTATAAATGTTGTACTCTAAAGAATCTTTGTTACGGGATATAGTCATAACAATCCTACGTATTTCGACCTAATAGGCCTCGTCAGAAGAGCTATCATAGGGCTTCTCAACATGAAAAATCAATATTTTCTGCCTTTTAAGAAGCAATAATAACATGGCTTCAATACGGACGCAATAGCGACATCTAATTACAACAATCGTAAAATAGTTTCGAAATACAATTCAGATTTCTGCTTTATAATCTGAGCCTTCTAAAAATTGCAAGGCAAACAGACGTTGATAAAAGATGTTAAAATATCATTACCTTTTAACCATCACCTCTCCCAAACTAATATTTTTCGGAAGATTAGTTTCATCTAACTCCAGATAAATGTCAAGAAGTTCAAAAAGTTGCTTCGAAAATTCCTTACTTATGTGTTTTCTCGAAGACAAAAATATTTCTTCGGGCATATCATCGTGTTCTAAGAGATTAAGTAGTCCCTTTTCTTTCAGCGTTTCCCATACGATGTTATTCTTTTCTCCGTGACACCACTCAGCGCCGAGGTCAATATTTCTACCATTCCAATTTTGTGTATTGATTCTTCCACCCACCCGATTTTCGGCTTCTAGTATTAAAATGTTGTTAATTCCATTTTCCAGTAATTTGCTCGCAGTTGCAATTCCAGATGGTCCAGCTCCAACAACAATCACTTTAAATTGTTCTTCGCTGACCGCAAAGGTTATCGTGCTACATGCAACAAAAATAGTTATTAACAAATTCATCTTGAAGACTAATATTTTTTAGTTTAGATGATATTATAAGTAGAAAAACATGATGTTTATTTAAAACTAATATAATCTGAAAAAGATTATGATTTAAACTATTTTAAACCAGTGATTCCCAATAAGTGGGGCATAGCATGAAACAGAAAATCAAGATGTCATTTTATGATACAGAATGTAATAAAAAATAATTACAGGACAAAAACTATTTTACCAATAATAATAAAACCTCCCCCCCCACCCCTGAAAGTTGCTAAAATAACTTTGTGATTCTTTCAACATAGCTTTGATGGTATATATTACTCTGCAGGGTATTCGTAGCATTTTTCTATGCAAACACGTCTCAAACATCTCTAGGCGATTGATCCTATCAGCACTCTTACTCCAGGTCTCAGTGTCATGAAATAATGCAAACCAAATTTACCTTTTTGGCTATTACTAAATTTTGGTTATTACCAGAATATACCAAATTATACTTTATATTGCAGGTTACTTAATATTGCAAGTCTTGTTCATTTAATAATTAATCTTCACGAACTTCATCATCATCATATAACGGGGGTCCTACGACGATTGCCGCTTCCCGCATTTCAGCCTCCATCTTTTCCTATCCCTCCAATCTCCCCCTTCTAAGCCTCTAGATTGCATTGTTTTTGTAATTTTTCTTCTCCATTCCCATCACGTGACCATACCATTGTAATTGCCTTCCTTGTATTCTATCTAAAAGAGTATCTCTAACTCCTGTACTGTTTCGTATTTCCTCATTCCTGATTCTTTCCATTCTCGATACTCGACATGACCTTCTAAGATAATCCATTTCCACAACGTCTACTTTATCTCGTTCCTTCTTTGTCATCGTCCCACATTCGGCACCATATGTGGTAATCGGTTCTACAATTGCTCTGTATACACGAAGTTTGGTATGCACCTTTATTTTATTAGACCACAGTAATGAATTTAGTATTTGGATGCATTTTTTCCCTTGGGTTATTCGGTTTTGTACATCTATCGTAACTCTGCCATGTGCTGATATGATGCTTCCTAGATATTTATACTGGTTGCAACCTTTTATGACTGCGTTTTCAAGCCTCAGATCTGTGGTATTTTGTCCAATTTTTAAATATTCTGTTTTGTTTATGTTTACAGTAAGCCCCCATTTGGCATATTCCTCAAATAATTTTCGATTCATATAATTTATATCTTCCTTATCGGTTGCAACCACCACCTGATCATCTGCAAACGACAATGTATACAGAGTTTCTTGTCCCACTTCGATACCCATAAATCTACATTTATTTCTCCAGTTCCTCTATGCTTCTTGGACGTATATTTTAAATAGTGTCGGTGACAAACAGCATCATTGGTTTAGGCCTTTAGTGACTTTAAATTCATTTGAAGTTTTAGTTCCAATTTTTACACAACTAACTGCATTTTCGTACAATTTATATATCGCTCGCATATACGTCAAATCCAATCCGGACCTTTCGAGGACCTTAAACATTTTTTTTAACGGGACACTATCATATGCTTTCTCAAGGTCTAGAAATACCAAACGGGTCTCTCTACTTCTTTCGACACGCTTTTCAATTATTTGTGGTAAAATAAATATATTATCGAGGCAGGATCTCACGGTACGAAAGCCGCTTTGTTCTTCAATATCTTGTATCTATCTTTAAACCCTCTTCTTTAATATTCTGCCGTACAACCGGCCCACAGAGCTCGTCACACTAATATCTCTATAATTGGAACAGTCTCTTTTATTCCCTCTCTTATATATGGAGCTTATACAAGATTTATTCCAATTTTTAGAAATTTCCTGGTCTCCACATACATTTATTAAAAAGTTCTACTATTAATTCTAAAAGTGCAGTCGGTCTATATTTAACCAGCTCTATGGGAATGTCTCCAGGTCCTGCGGCTTTTCCGTTTTTAACCTCTGTTAAGGTTTTCATTAATTCAGATAATGTTATTATAGGGATTTCCTGTCTTTCGTCTCTGTTATCTATTAATTCCCTTATCTTGTCCCATCTGTACTCTACTCTATCCTGTATCCCACGAACTTTCTTGTGCATAATGAATATGTCATGAGCTAGCTGAGTTCAGAGCTAGCACGTATCGGATCATATCTTTATGTGTAAACACTGCTGGCTAACCTATAATATTAGTCTGGAAAAAAGTCTTATTAAATCTCGCGACTCTAGGAGGTCAGACGCAGAACTCTACAACTGACTCTTAGAAGATGCTCTGCGGTATGAAAAGGCTTTAGCTCTAGGAACTAAAATAGAACTGAAAAGTATACAATATCTGTTCAAAACAAAATAAATCATGCTTATAAAAAATCCTGTTAAATAAAGATGGTCCAAGAAAGTCGCCAAACAACTCTTGGTCGTGCACTGAACTTTAACACATTAGAAAGACAACACTTTAGGAAGACAGCAAGAACAGATTTTAATAGAGCAAAACGCACAAAACTAAAATATTGAGATTCTTATCAAACCTTAGAGAGTCTAACAAAGTCTGTTGACAAAGATAAAGAGCTGTTTGAGAACCTTGTGAGGAAATTAAAGATTTTCCTTAGGTTTCCAGGCTACAAAAAGCACTTTCAAAGGACTCACAAACACACTTTGCCGGTTCTAGTGCCTTGACAGTACCAAACTGGATGAAAAAAGCAATCGTAATCTCACTGAGCGACTGCCAGCTTGCCAAAACAACTATTAATGAGGAAAAGGTAAGATGGGCTTTATTGTGCTTCACTGCTTTCAAATCGCCAGGACCTGACGGCATATATCCAGCCCTACTACGGTGGGGACTGGATATCCTATTGCCGCACCTTGTGAGAATATTAAGAGCCTCTTTGGCAGTATACAGTCAAAAGATTTGCTATTAAACATAAACGAAAAGGATTGTCTAACTGGAGGATGTAAATTTCATAGTTTTTTTTATTTGAGTAAAAAAACAATAAGACTTGACGCGGTGTTCATACCCCCTCTCACCTATGTAATGCACTGTAATGTACACCACGTAATACACCACCAAATTTCGTTACCTTTTACTTAAACGACCCCCTTCCATTATTATAATGGGAATACTTTAAACATGTATGACCATGTTATCTAAGTAAAGGTAGATTTTTTTTTATTTAAACTATTAATAATATTATTAATAACATAAATCATATCAAACAAGGAACACAACTAAACAAGAGTTTACTACAGTTTTAAACTAACAATAAAACAATGTTGGCAGCTCAGCATTTTCAAAACAGTGGACAAACTTGTAACAGGTACCTTGTTTTAGGTAATTTGGATTATTTTTTTGTTTTTTATGTAACAAAAATTTTATGGATAGATCAACAACCAGGAGATAAGAGCGGCAAAGCTAGATCCACGTTCAACCGAAAGACGGCCATCTTTAAAAGCCATAATATCTCTCTTGGTACAAAAGTAAGAATGCTCTGACGTTACGAACTTATTTTCTTTTTTTGTCTTTTTTTTGTGCTAAATCGTGTAACCTGAATAAAGATATGTGAAGATTGGAAGCACCTAAGATATGGTTATATCGGAGAAAACTTAAGATCCTGTGGACTGACCCAATCATTAATGAGGAATTTATAAAAAGAATAAAGTACAACCGAGAGGCATTCGACCACTTTTAAATCTCTAAAGTTGTAATACTTCAGATACATTATGCGAAATAAACTCAGATATATAGCCCTCCTACAAGCATCTTAATCTTTAACCATCCTGGTTAAAGAGCCTTAGAACAAGTTTCTGGGGCAAAATATAAACTAATAAAAAGTATTTATTAAAAATTTATTAAAAATCTATAAAAACATGTAAATCGAATGGTCAGGTGTCTCAATACCAAAATACAGTTTATTTGTAAACTAATAGATAAAACAATTAAACGAAAAGTTAACACAACATATTTAATTCATAAGTATTGGGAATCGCTGGTTCAGATAAATATTATATCTGTTATTATAGTAAATTAATTTATTATCTGTTAAGACTTTTATTTAGTTTTGATTCTTATATATCATTATGTAACATTATTTAAGTGAACTTTAATTTAAAATCTTTTTTTAATAATCAATAATTTAAATAATATAAACATTTCACAATTTATTCAGGAAAATAACTGGAATGAAATTTTCTAGAGCACCCAATTTTGATTTTATCAAAAGAGTTTGTGTCACGTCTATATTTTTTAATTTTAATTTTAGGCAAAGAGAAATAACTAAAAAAGTCTTACGAACAATAAATTTATTTTACCACGGACGACCAATTTTTATTACCAATATTTGGTACAAAATATATAACAGTTTTTTTAAATATATGTGTAAAGTTTTAACAGGTTAAGTGCCATAAGAGTCCAAAACAGACTATAACATAAAAGTTATATACGAGTCGCGTGATGTAGACGTGGACTAACGCGCTAGCTTGACTCATTACCAGCTTCTCAAACTCATTTAATATACAGATTGAACGAATTTAAAACGGATCATACAATTTAATATATGTCTGTTTGAAATGCATTTGAAATAGTAGACCAATATAAAACTTGGATAAAAATAAATCCATACCCGGTGATAGACATTGTATAAAATATCGTTCAACTATCTGTCTTCTTTTAGGATGCACCATAGTCTATAGGGCCACCCAAAATCAATGTTGCCAATCGCCGTATAATAATCCGATTTGCGGATCTTTTTGAGAGTTATATCTTCTTCGTATCTTTAAATAAATCGGATATTTGCCTATATTTTTCATTGTATTTACCAATCTACTACAACAGACAAATAACAAAAAGAAACTTAATGGTTGGTAGTTTTTTTTTCCTGTAAATATTTTTTGTTTAACACCTTATTTGATAAACATCTAGAGGAATGAGATTGGCAACACTGCTCAAAATATCCATCTGACTGCTTAGATAAACGAAAGAAGCGTCTATGATGCTCGGTGTGGTCGTTCCGATAAAAGGTACTACCTCTATAACACACTCTGCATATACTTGGA